ATAGCAGTGTAGAAGTGCCCCTTCTACACTACTATATTATCCGAGTTAATCCACATTATCTGCTTTGAACTGGATTATATGAGTCTACACTGCCATATAATCTGCTTCAAAGAAGATAATCTGGATTTTATATGGCAGTTTAGGGCCCCTTCTGCACTGCCATATAATTCTGTTTACCAAAAGTGCTTTAACTGGATTATATGAGTCTACACTGCCATAAAACACTTTGAATCCCCTTCAGAGGAAATAAAGTGGGGTTTAAATAAATATTAATATAAAAATATAATCCAGTACAAATGAGATAATCTGGATTTTATATGGCAGTGTAGATAGGGACTAAGGCTAAGGTTATTTATTGTGTCAGAAGCAAGTTGATGCAGTTATGCATTTCAAAAACCACAAAGTTAAGTTGACATACTAGATGTTCTTTGATCAGAAACTGGCCACTTTGATTGCCTCTGGTGTCATTGTAAGGTCCTCCATTGTGCCTGTGGCAGGGCTCAGATTATGGGCCCTTTCGCACAGCCATATAACCCAAAATATCAAGACAGATAATCTGTAACATATGCTTTGATCTGGGTTATCTGGAGGCCCTTCTACACAGCTCTATATCCCAGAATATCAAGGCAGACAATCCCACAATATCTGCTTTGAATTGGAATATATGGCAGTGTGGACTCATAGCCCAGTTCAAAGCTGATATTGTGGGTTTTTCTGCCTTGATATTCTATGTAATATGACTGTGTGGAAGGGCCCTGAGTCCACACTGCCTGATAGTCTGAATTTTATACAGCTGTGTGGAAGGGACCTGAGTGCAAATTTATTGGGTGGTAATCACAAACAGAGTCAGTGTTGCTGAGGAAGGAAGAAGCAGGCAAAACGATTACCTTGATGAAAGCTCATGCAAAGAAAGGAGAGACATTAGCCTTTTAAGGTGCCCTCCACTTTAAAAAAAAATTGCTGCACCCCCTAAATCAGCTTTCCAAGCTCTCTGTCGTGACACTTTTGTATCGGCTCTAGTGTGTAGGTGTGTCATGCAAATGCAAGAAACTTCTGATTCTTTGTGAAATAAGCAGTAAATCATATATTATTTTTAAAAATACAGATGAAAGGTTTTCATGAGTTACATTGTGACTCTGTATCCCCATACATTTTGTAATTGCAATTGATGTCTATATCTGTATTTCTTATAAGGGGTTGGTTTAACCTTCAGTTTGCTAGTAAAACTGAATTACTGTGTTGCAAAAGGAGGCATATCTAATAAGTGTGCCACCAACATTCAATGTCTGGAAATCTCTGCCCTAAAGTGAGAGGAATAAATATTTTCAGTCGGCAGCAGTCCAGGGCTGACCCCAGTACAGTTCCAATCATGAAGTTGTTTTTAGAGGCCAGTGATCTTTCCAGCCTAAGAAAAGGCTCCGTGGTTGGATTTGTTGCTTTTAGCTGTGGAAAGATGCACAACCCCAGGTAAAGCTGCAGTTTGTCAGAAAATGAAACTCTCAAACTCAGCCCTCTACCTTATGTTTATCCAATAATTAAATTATTCAGTATTCAGAAAACAGGTCTATTCACAAAATGTTATGAAATACCACGGTGTACTGAAGTGCTAATATTCAGGAACAAACTACAATAAAATACACAGGAGGGGGCACACTTGTTTTTTGCTACTCTGGAGACCAGGATGCACAGCAATGGGTTCAGATTGCAGGTAAAACGATTCCATAATGTGGTGGAGTCTCCTTCTCTGTGGGTTAAGTAGAGGCTGGGTGGCCATCTGTTGGGGGTGCTTTGTGTCTTCCTGCTTGGGAGAACAGGGTTGGGCTGAAAGGCCCTACGGGTCCTTTTCAACTCTGTTTCTCATTCTAAAACATCTTGTCTTGCCTTTAGGAATATGAGCAGGGAGAGCTGTATTGATGCTTTTCAAAACATAGATCTTAAAGAGTATTTTATCAGTTATGTTCTAATGCTGCATTTCTATTTGGTGTTAACATTTCCCCTTCAATTGAGATATATTTTTATAAATAAAAGAAATATTTGTGGTGATTTAATTATATTCAACGTATGTACAAGAGAAAGGGAGTTTTCTAAAGGCCTTTATGACCTCTTTGGCTGGGTCCACTGATATTCTCCTGGTGAAAGGGACATGTCACCGCCTACAAAGCCCATTATTATTCCATCTGTTACTGTTTTTACAAAGAGGTTGGCCCATCCTTTAGCATCTTTCTCTATGTAAAACTGTGTAAAACGTCAAGATGAATCAGTTTTTATGGGGGTCACATTCATCTTATCAGAGTTTCACATCCACATCTGCTGCTTCTGGTTGCATTGGTCTTTTTCCCACTGATGAAATGGGAAGTTTTGCCCATTTGGTGTAACTGCTTTCATTTCCCGTTTTGCCAGCGATTCCCATTCTTACCAGTTTCCTCCTTTTAGAGAAATGTATATAGAGGCACGTGGTTTCTTTGCCCCATCCTGACCACAGCATCTTTGTGGCTCTTAAAGAGACTTTGAGGTGAGTTTCTGGTTTTAATTTACTGGCATGGCTGATGTATTGAGGTTGTTTGATCCTATTAGCAGGGATGAATTTTGCAACCACAAGGAACAGCAAAACCATCTTGGATAGATAACAAGTCACCCAATCTGCTGTAAACATTTGTCAGTCTTGATATACAGGCAGTCCCTGAGTTACAAACATCTGACTCAACTCAAAGTTAAGAATGGGGTGAGACAACAGGAAGTGACAGAAATGGTCTCCTCGGAAGGGAAATTCACTCCTGGAAGAGTTATCATGGGGTCAAGGATGTCTCAGATGAAGCTTTATCAGATGAATCTTTTGTTTCCACAAGAAGCCACATTTTTCAAAATCCCCCATAAAATCTGATTCATTTTCACAAGGCCAGAAAGTGAGGTGAAATCGTCTGTACAAGGGCACAGGCAGCAATACAAACACCACAAGGGTGTTAACCCTTCCCTATGCTGTGCAAAGCTTTAAAACGGGTCCTCAAACTAAGGCCCGGGGGCCGGATGCGGCCCTCCAAGGTCATTTACCCGGCCCTCGCTCAGGGTCAACCTAAGTATGAAACTACTTCAAAGCACACAATAACAACAATCCTATCCCATCAACCAAAAAGCAGGCCCATGCTTTCCATTGAAATACTAATAAATTTATATTTGTTTAAATTGTTCTTAATTTTAATTATTTATATTTGTTAAAATTGTTCTTAATTTTAATTATTGTATTGTTTTTAAATATTTTTGCACTACAAATAAGCTATGTGCAGTGTGCATAGGAAGTCATTCATGGTTTTTTTAAAAAACTATAATCCGGCCCACCAACAGTTTGAGGGACTGTGACCTGGTCCTCTGTTTAAAAAGTTTGAGGACCCCTGCTTTAAAAGATATATTTTTGGCTGGAGTTACACTCAAAAACTGTACTTGTTCCAACTTACATACCAATTCTACTTAAAAACAAACCTATAGAACCTATCTTGATCATAACCTGGGGACTGCCTGGATTAACTTTTTATGGGTAACAAAGCTAAAAAACGTATTTCAGTAAAGAAAGGCAAATTTGCCTATTAAAGAGTGAACAAATGTACCCCTACATACGACACTGGACTGCAACTCACCAGCCCTATCAATCATAGCCAGTTGTAGGGATAATAGAAATTACAGTTCAAAAGCATATTGAGAGACTTCATTCTTTACTCCTTCCAGTCTGTCACAGAAACTCTCAACATCAGCAAGGCCCAATATTTCTAACTGTTCCTGCAGGTTAAACATAACACAGCTGGTGAAAAAGGACAGCCATCTGAAACTACCGGCCTCTTCAATATTCAGAACTGAGAAAAGCTGCAAGGTACTAGGCACACAAGACTGCCTTTTACTTTTGAAAGAACTAAAAAATCCTGCATTAGGCCTCAACAAAAGAGCTCTAACTAGAACATTGATTTACAGTTTATAAAGCAAAAGCTCCGCTTGGTTGTCAGCAAATGACCCATGCTATCCACTTTGCGGTTTCACTGTCCTTCATAATATTGTGCTTTTGTATGATTTCTACTTTTACCACCTAATTATAAAAGCCCTTTGTCTGCTTTGGCATCAAGAGTTTCTATGGGCTTTTTGTTGTCAATGTAAAATGTGTTTTAGGATACAGATAATACAATTTTCCAAGTGAAGGATGAGAAACTTACTTCCTATATCCCAAAACCTCCTGATTTCTACATCCATGCCTGTCCTTTGTTAATAATACTAGCCAGAAGACTGAATAATCAACACTTAAAATGAATCTTTTGTTGAAACAGCTCATATACAGGCAACTTGCTGTACATGACAATTCAGCCACATCATGCTGGTAGCAACGAAGAAATGAAAAAATCCCTCATTTTAGTCATTTGCATGTTCTGCCACTGATTTTTTTTTTTTAAAAAAACTGATCCACACGTGCACAAAAGTGTTGCAATCCATTAAGCATAGTTATAGAGGACACATGCTATATGTTAAGATTCCTGGTGTATTCCAACAGTAACTTCATGCAGTGCATCAGAGCAGCACACATTCGGACCATTCTAACAAGTGTGAAGGTTGTTCTATTTCAGTAAAGCTATTTAGACATGAGGTATTTCTAAAAGAAGCTGCATGCAAATGTTACAAAGCAACAGTTTAGTGGTTTATAAAATGTAATTTTATTTAATGTTATTTTGTTACATAGGGCATTAACATTTTCACAAGGCTTTTTTGGGACTACAATCAATGATTAGCAACACACAATAGTGGTCCATCTATCTACGGAACAAATCACTGGACGAACTTGACACCTTCATACATGTGCACAAATCTGCATGGAAAAGTTTTATACTTGGACACGTGACCTCCTTTCCCCCCTTTCCAGTGTTAAGAATGACATGCAATTTAGTCTGCCAAAAACGGCACTCCCTGTATTCTGGCAGTAACATGCTGCTTCTAAGTAAATAATCAAGTGAATACCAGAACTACAAAAGCAGGAGTGTAAAGTGGATTTTTATTGGGAGGGGATAGCAGTTGAACAGCAGCAACTGAAGAGTAAAAAGAGTCCCTGTATTAAACACTCAGTAGATCCTGCTGTACATACAGTGGGGGGAAATATTTAGTCAGATACCAATTGTAAAAGATGAGAGGCCTGTAATTGACATCATAGGTAGACCTCAACTATGAGAGACAACATGAGAAAACACATCCAGAAAATAATGTTTAATTTCAACAATTTATTTGCAAGTTATGGTGGAAAATAAGTATTTGGTCACCTACAAACAAGCAAGATTTCTGGGTCTCACAGACCCGTAACAACTTTAAGAGGCTCCTCTGTCCTCCACTCATTACCTGTAGTAATGGCACCTATTTGAACTTGTTCTCAGTATAAAAGACACCTGTCCACAACCTCAAGCAGTCATACTCCAAACTCCACTCTGGTGAAGGCCAAAGAGTTGTCAAAGGACACCAGAAACAACATTGTTGCCCTGCACCAGACTGGGAAGACTGAATCTGCAATAGGCAAGCAGCTTGGTGTGAAGAAATCAACTGTGGGAGCAATAATTAGACAATGGAAGAGAGACAAAGACCACTGATAATCTCCCTTGATCTGAGGCTTCATGCAAGATCTCACCCCACGGGGTCAAAATGATCACAAGAACGGTGAGCAAAAATCCCAGAACCACACCTAGGGGGAACCTAGTGAATGACCTGCAGAGAGAAAGCTGGGACCAACGTCACAAAGGCTGCTCCCACCAGTAACACACTACACCACCGCCAGGGACTCAGATCCTGCAGTGGCAGACGTGTCCCCCTGCTTAAGCCAGTATATTTCCAGGGCTGACTAAAGTGTGCTAAAGAGCATTTCGATGATCCAGAAGAGTATTGGGAGAATGTAATATGGTCAGATGAAACCAAAGTAGAACTGCTTGGTAGAAACACAACTCATTGTGGTTGGAGGAGAAAGAATGGCGAGTTGCATCCCTACTGTGAAGCATGGGGTGGCAACATCATGCTTTGTGGCTGTTTCTCTGCCAAGGGACCAGGGCGACTCATCCATACACATGAAAGAATGAATGGGGCTATGTATCATGAGATTTTGAGTGCAAACCTCTTTATCAGCAACGGTACTGAAGATGAAACTCTCATTGGCTGGGTCTTTCAGCATGACAATGACCCCAAGCACACCACCAGGGCAATGAAAGAGTGGCTTCGTAAGAAGCATTTCAAGGTCCTGGAGTGGCCTAGCCAGTGTCCAGATCTCAACCCTATAGAAAACCTTTGGAGGGAGTTGAAAGTCCATGTTGCCCAAGAGCAGCCCCAAAACATCACTGCTCTTGAGGAGATCTGCATGGAGGAATGGGCCAACAGACCAGTAACAGTGTGTGCCAACCTTGTGAGGACTTACAGAAAATGTTTGACCTCTGTCATTGCCAATAAAGGATATATAAAGTGTTGAGATGAAATTTTGTTATGGACCAAATACTTATTTTCCACCATAATTTGCAAATAAACTAGTTAAAAATCAGACAATGTGATTTTCTTAATGTGTTTTCTCATGTTGTCTCTCGTAGTTGAGATGTCAATTACACGCCTCTCTCATCTTTTTAAGTGGGAGAACTTGTACAATTGGTACTGGACTAAATACTTTCCCCCCCAACTGTACATGTCAGCAGCATCTGTTATGCTTCCCATTTGGCCCAATTCTCACAGATCCTACAGGAAGGAATACGCAATCGCATATGAAAGTCACATCGGCAAATAACCCCTGAAGAATAAAAAGGGAATGTAGGGAATTGAACTGGGTTGGATGCTTTTTAGTTGTATCAACTACATGGTCATGTCTTTTATGGCAATACAAAAACAGTTGTTTGTAGGAACTGGTTCAAATTTCTTTTTAAATACCAGACAAACTTTAGTCCACTACATAAGTGTTTGGAAGTTACTTATGTTTATATGAAATTAAGCCAGTATTAATACTTTTCTACAGCAGTAACTGCACACCAGGAAGGCCAGGACAAACACAAATCAAGGAATGGAGTTTTCCCAAAGCTGCAGTGTGAAAAGACTATAAATTGATTTCCATACACATGGATGGGTTCTCTTTGCTATAGGAAATCCAAGTGGAGCTATAAGGAATGAGACGTGTAAAAAGGTTTCTTGAGAAGGGGAATGACACTCCATACGCAATTTAGTTTTCTGCTCCTTCTGCAGCATCACATTCTTCTCCTGCGCTGTCTGATGTCCATAACTAGAAAGAAGAACAATCACATTAAGAAAGAACAGCTTGTTCACAATGCAAACACTTCATTTTTCCTTTAAGCAAAAACTCAGGGTGTATCACCTGATCAAACTACTGATTTGTAAAATCAGGCCCAAATGGTATCACTGTCTCAAATTTCAATCATAAGAAATTATATTAGAAATTGAACATTTATTCCCCTGCGCTCAATAATTACAATGTACTCTCATACTGCCCATTGAATTACTGTAATTTGATTGATAAATATTTGATAGTTACGTTTTACTATGATAGCTGTTCATTTGTTCTTTTTTAAAATGCCTCCTGAAACAGCTTAGCCAAAACTCAAAGACTTTTAATTATCATACAAATATTATTGGGCACATCTTACTGTGAGGTTGTCTCTAAGCAACTGCATGATGAGAGTGCTGTCTTTGTATGAGTCTTCGTTCAGTGTATCAAGTTCAGCGATGGCTTCATCAAAAGCCTATAAAAACACATCAAAATATTTATTATTTATTTGCCACATTTCTATCTTGCCCTTCTATCCCTGGAAGGAGACTCAGGGCGCCTTACAACAAAGGCAAAATTTGATGCCTTAAATACATATAAAATAAAACAGCATATACTGTAAAATCACATAATTAAAACATATCGCTTTAAAACATTACTTTAAATCACATAATCCAAAAACATATTCCAGGAACCATTCCAATTGTCATTTGCATTGTTCATTGTTGCACTAAGAAATCATTGTGCAAACACTTGGTCTCACAACCAGACTTTTTCATGCAAACTGTTTCAAGAAATTATTAATGATCAGAGAAAAGTATTATCATGTTCAGTCATACAAAGCATATTCAAAACAGAAGTTGGTATTTAGTCTAATTCTGGTTTCTGTGTTCTGATTATATTTGAAATATTACGTTTCCAGATAAGTACATGTGGATAAAAGGGTTTTCTTTACAGAATGCATTTATCCAGCTCAATCCTAAATTATTGTCATTCCACATGTTTCTCTGTGATTAATGGTGTTTATTCCCAAGGCATCATCAGAACTGCAATCCAAGAGGCCCAAAAGGACTGGCCTACTTTCTTTCCACTGTCATAAATATATTTGGGTGCCCACAAACATGGTCCTGTTAAATGCATAACAAATACTTAACAAATAAGATTCCATAGAAACATATGAAGTATGCCGCAATATACTACAAATCCCAACCATATGAATATACCTGCATTACGTAACTTCAGAATCCAAAAGTATTAGCAGAAACAGAGCCCTGTTTTCTTTTTAACAGTAGTGTTACCACACCCATTAAGTCACTTACTGTCTTTGCCAATGTGCAGGCCAGCTCTGGGTTGTTGAGGATCTCATAGTAAAACACAGAGAAGTTAAGCGCTAGACCCAGACGAATTGGATGTGTGGGTTGCATCTCTTTCTTGCTGATGTCAAATGCTTCCTGGTAAGCAGCCTGTGAATTTTCTATTGTTTCTGTGATGGAAGATCAAATATTGGTATGGTGAACTGACTGAGCAATTTTCATATACAGGATATAGATATGCTTTTTCCTCTTGCAACAGTGCTATTTAAGAGTGGTCTGTGAACCGGTATTGAGCCATTAACTGCTGATCCTAACTAGCACATGCCCCGGAAATAAATAATTGCAGCCAATGGTGCCAGTCCCCGCTACATAATTGCTGGTGCCCCACATCAGATGGTTTGAGAGGCACAGCCTTACAAGGTCTTATTACAGTACCTTTGCTGTAACTAAAATAAAGAAAAGGCTTAAATGAATGCAATACTCACGTTTTCTGTCATCTCCGCTTGCAACTTCTGCAAGGTATCGGAAGTAGTCTCCTTTCATCTTCAGGTAGAACACCTTGCTCTCTGGATTAGTTGCATTAGCTATTAAGTATTTGTCCAGCAGTTCCTACAGGAAAAAAAAAAAGAATGAAAATGCTCACTGACATGCTTCATTAGGTGGGTAAAGAAAGTCTTGTTCTGAAACAAACATAGTTGCCATGGCTATATGATGTACCCACAATAATATATACTATTTTCAAACACTTTTAATATCATCCTATAGATGGGCACACAATAATGCATTAATGAGACAAAGAATTAGTACAATAAAACAGTGACAATACCTCAGATGGTATTTTGAGACCATAATAACATATGCAAGAAAGAAAAACATGGCTAAATTTCTTTGTAGTCTGAAGAGTGAAGTTGATTGTACTTTAAAGTAAATCTTGCCAATGTGCTAAAAAGAGAATTGAGAACACACACTAAGTATTATCTTTACACTGTCTGCTAAGATACCCTTTTAAGCCAGAGGAAAATTTCTGCCCACAAGGTAAATATGCTTCTATACTGTCCAATTATCTTAAAGTCTGAACAAATCTCTGACAATATAATTATTTGAGTTGATTGCTCTTACTATGGAATGAATCCATCTCAAATTAAGTGGTGCAGAAGTATTGCGTATGCCACTGGCACAATAACGTTTTCAATATTACTTCCAAAGCCATATGTACTAAGAGTATATTTCAGATTAAGACAATGGCAAAATACAGAACTAGACAACTCCCTATGAGGTTAAGATTGTCCAGGGAGGCCCTGCTCTCAGTCCCGCCTTTTTTGCAGACATGACTGGCAGGGGCAAGAGACAGGGCTTTCTCAGTGGTGGCCCCTCGGTTGTGGAACGCCCTCCCCAGGAATATTAGATCAGCCCCTCCCTCTTGATCTTCAGGAAAAAGTGAAAACGTGGCTATCTGAACAAGCTTTTGGAATCTAATGCAACAGTCAAACACGGTATTAGATGAAAAGTGGACATTGGAACGGCTAAGACGACGATTTATGGACAATGAGACAAACAATGAAGATATTGCTTTTGTATTTTATTAAATGTGTTTTTAATTCTGTTAATTGTATATTGTTAGGCATCGAATTACTGCCTGGTTGTAAGCTACCTTGAGTCACCTTCAGGGGGTTCAAGAAAGGTGGGATAGAAATAGAGTAAATAAATAAATAAATAATCCATTATTTAGATTAAAAATAAGACTTGTCTGAAATAGATCAAAACTGATTTTAAAGATCTGTCAATAATGTGATTCTAAGAGATATGATCTATATATAAAAACGGATAAATTTCTTCTCAAACATTTTTATATATGGAAAACATCAAGATTGGAAGGTACTTTTTTGGAGACCAGCAATACTAATTTAACAGCAAATTGTGTTACCAGTAATCTCTAATGGCAATATTTTCAGGAGAGAGGATTGAAATAAAGTATGATAGGATTAATTACGCACAGTAATTTTTGCTAGTTTCACTTCCAATATCAGAAATGTTAAAACAACTTGGTGGAGACTGTGGAACAGGAAGGAGTTAAAAGTGTGTGGTTACTTGGGTAATACAGCAACAGTGATTTTGCAGCCTAGCACAATTTCACGGATTCTCAGGCTCTCTCCAGCATTCATTTGAGCTGGTTTGTCTTTTTATATAGGGAACACCACAAGCCAGAAATTATCTGAAAAGCACACAACAACCAACTGGTGGCATAGCATATTCAAAGATTCAACCATCCACAGGTTGAAAGTATTTCCCAAAGAGAAAAAACCCTGTGTTTTGACACTTTATATAAAGAATATCACTTTATTACAACATTGTATATAATGAGGCTTAAACATACATTGATTTTGATATCCACAGAGATTCCTGGAACCAAATTTCAGCTTATATCAAGGGACCACTGTGCTTCTACCATTGCATGCTCCAAATAACTGCCAATGTTCTACTCAAGTTTATAACTTCAGTGCCAGTTAAAGAGGGCATTGTGCATTAGCAACTCCATAATCCCTACATAATTTAAAATACGTAACTTTCTGTGCCTAAAGATAAATGACATCATCTAATTTATTTAGACCCTGCCCTTTTCCCTTCGAACCAATTAAAACAAATCACCTGGGCCTTTTTCAGATGAAGTGCCAAATAAACTACAGAGGGAGTACAGGAAAGTACCTCTCCCCATACATTAAAATGTACCCACTCTTTTTCTATCAAAGCCACTTGCTTTACCCTACAATTTTGCAATTTTCAAGTGTGGCTAATTTTCCTCAAGTGATGATTCCTTTTTCTGGACTCTCCTCAACCCTAACAAAATAAGGCTGATCTTGCAGCAACAACATAAAGTCAGCATGCTGCACTTGTTCTTCAAAGGCCCAACCCCTCAGAAATGGCATTTCTCAATACAAATGTAATCTAGTTTTGGAAAGTAAATGTTTGTCAGTTCCCTTTTCTAAAGACCCAAACTGTAAGTGTCCATAATAAGCGGAAGAAAACATGGAGAACAAGGGCAAGAAGGGGCTCAGGGGAGAGAAGCATTGGATTAAAGGACATCTAGTCCAACCCCTTCAGCCAGGCAGGAAGTCAGTGAAAGTCCTTCCAATACACAACCATCCAACCTCAGTTGAAAAACCTCCAGGAAAGGAGCCTCCACTGAAGAGATTCCCAAAGAGCATCCAGTCTAACTCCCTTCAGTCAGGCAGGAACGCACAATCAAAGCACCCATGGATGGCCATCCAGCCTCTATTAAAGACCACTAGAGAGGTTTAATCACTACAAAGGAAGGAGGCCCCAGTTAAACCCCTGTGCCGGCAGGACTGAAGACCGACAGGTTGCAGGTTTGAATCCGGGGAGAGGCGGATGAGCTCCCTCTATCAGCTCCAGCTCCTCGTGCGGGAACATGAGAGAAGCCTCCCACAAGGATGATAAAAACATCAAATCATCCAGGCGTCTCCTGGGCAACGTCCTTGCAGACGGCCAATTCTCTCACACCAGAAGTCACTCCTGACACGACAAAAAAAAAAATCTACAAAGGTGGAATGCTGGTGCTGTTCAAATGTAGATACTGTATTACTTTTATAATTTGTGCAATTTGCTTATCGAGTTGCAGTAATTTTCACTAAGATTGACAAGTTTCTAATTAAGAAAGAAATCTGTTGACAATGTTAGTTATTAACCACATGGTTATAGAGGAAACTACACAAGAATCAACTGCAGTACAAAGGATCTCTCTCTCAATATATATACACACACCCCGCCCCCTGCCATGTGTTGCTGTGGCTCAATTTGTGTATATATTTGTGTATGTGTGTATATATGTGGTTTTGATCATGCGTTGTAATGTATTTTTCAGTGTTTTTATGAGTGATGGTCACTTGTTGGCCTGATAGGTGTATTGTGTCCACATTTGGTGTCAATTCGTCCAGTGGTTTTTGAGTTACGTTAATCCCACAAACTAACACTACATTTTTATTTATAGATAATGAAAATCTTAAAAGGGGTTGGTTTAACCACAGGTTTATTAGTAAAATTGAATTACTGTGTCAGATCTAAAAAGTGTGTCATCAACATTTATTTATTTATTTCCGGCACTTTTACCCCGCCCTTCTCAACCCCCGAGGGGGGACTCAGGACGGCTTACACAACAAGGCACCGTTTGATGCCTATACAGTTACACATAATAGACAGTCATAGTTAAAACAATTATCACAATTAAAACAAATGAAGTAATCAATAAACACATCATATAGAAACTATTCGCGTGCTCAGCATTCGTATTTCCGGGTTCCAGATTCCATTCCATTAGACATTTCCTAAACGATATCAAGTCCTTTCTTTACCTGCCCGAATGACCAAACGCTTGGTCCCACATCCATGTTTTCAGTTTTTTCCTGAAAGCGATGAGTGAGGTCGCTGTTCTGATTTCCCCGGGGAGCGAGTTCCACAGGCAGGGGGCCGCCACCGAGAAGACCCTGCTCCTCGACCCCGCCAGCCTCGCTTGTGATACTGGCGGGGTCGAGAGCAGGGCCCCCCCAGCTGATCTTAAAACTCCGGGGTGGGACGTAGACATGACAAGTTTTGAAAGTTCTGATTTAATCTCTCATATTTTTGTCACATCAACCTTTATCTAATGGGGACACTAAAATATACAATATTCAACTTTGTCTTGATAAGCTATTTGAATGGCTAGAGCTGAACAGAGCCTGTGCCAATTAATCTCCCCAACCTCCAGTGCAAAGGATAGCTACCTCCCTATGACACACTCCAGTGTCTGCCCTCTCTCACCTTCTCAAGTAAAGCTACATCTAATAGGATCACTACATTGCAGAACAACTCAGTTCAGCTGCAACAGATTTAAGTCATTTCTACTTTTGAATAAACACAAGACCCTTATGTTTGAAATTAGGTTGCAATACTGCTGCAACGAGATCTCCAGAAAGTTGAGATCTTTTTCCTTCTTCTAGTGTTTGATCTTAATACTTATAACTATTCTTTCAGCTTCTTCCAGCAGGGGTCTCTACTAAGCCCAGTCATGAGTGAAAGCGGCTATTTGATTTCCATAAAGGAACTCTGGAAACAGCCTTTCTACTGAATTTAAACAGCATTATCATTGTGATCTACTGCGTAGTAATGCTTCAGTTCTACCCACTGCATAATTTCAAGGAAAGTGTAGCACATTTTATCAAAAGGTATCACTGCTTGTAGATTTTGAGTATTCTTCAGTATTAAATACATTCTTTACTACTGCTGCCTTGCTTCATTACAATTTAGCTTGGAAAGAAAATGTAGGTGACAAGAGGCGCTCTCCCAAAATAAATTTATTATCATTTTGGGTTTATTATATGTCTTTATTAACAACAAATTGACTGTTATTTCCAACTCAGACTAATGTATGCTGTACAGTATATTTAAAGCTACAGCCATGTAACATGACGTATGTAATAATTTTTCTATGTTATTACATATCCTGCATCATACAAGCTGAATATCCCCATATCAGAAGGGCTTTGGATTTCAAGTTTTAGAATATCCATTTTCACATATATGTACATTGAGATGGGATCCAAGTCTAAGCACAACAT